CCGTAGGAGCCCCGTGATATCCCACATGCACTGTGCTGTCGTCTGCATAGCAATGGATATTTCCAAGTGGAAGCATGTCATTGATATGCAGCAGAAAAAGTGTAGGGGATAGAACGGAGCCCTGAGGCACACCGGAATTGACTGTCTTAAGCTGCGAAGAGCATCCGTCAGAAAGAACACGGATTTTACGCTCACGCAGGAAGTCGGCTATCCAGGCGCATAGTTGAACGGGCAGACCGTAGGCCGGAAGCTTGGAGAGAAGTCCCCTGTGCCAAACCCTGTCAAATGCCTTAGCAATGTCAAGACTGACAGCCAAGGACTCGCCGCGCTTGTCTATAGCTTCACCCCAGAGGTGCATGACGTGCGCTAGAAGATCACCCGTTGATCGTTTTGGTCTAAAGCCATACTGACGATCATTTACAAGGGAGTGATCTTCTAGGTATCGGATCAGTTGGGAGTTAATAATCCTTTCCATGACTTTACACAGCACAGAGGTGATAGCTATAGGGCGGTAGTTTGCAGGGTCTGACCGATCTCCCTTTTTGGGCACTGGCTGCACAATGGCCTCTCTCCAAGCCTCAGGTACACGACCCGAAGAAAGTGATAGCTGATATAGGCGCGTAAGTACGGGAGACAACTCCGCTGCACACATTTTTATAACAACCGCAGGTATGCCATCAGGACCACTAGCTTTCCGGACATCGAGTGACTGTAGTTCCGCACGCACATCACACTGCCTGATATGAATATCAGGCATAGTGAAGCCACAAGAAGGTATCGCTGGTGGCAGTGCATTACAGTCATCGATTTGGGAGTTAGCCGCGAAGAGGCTTGCCAAGAGGTCGGCTTTCTCCTGCGGCTTGTGAGCTAATGTTCTATCTGGACATCGAAGCGGTGGCACTGAGGGCTGGCAAAAATTGTTTTGCACGGCCTTGGCGAGACGCCAGTAGCTACGGGAGCCCGTAGGGTGCGTAACTAACTCATGGCCAATACGTGCGACGCGCTGGGCATCCGCTCTGATGTAAGCCCTCTTACAGGACTTGGAAGCCTGATTGTAGGCCGCTTTTATTGAGTCAATATCGGGATCCCTCCGAGCACGACCCCTGATCCAAGCTCGATATGCCAGCTGTTTAGACGCAACAGCGTTATCACAATCGCGATTGAACCAGCGGTTGTGTTTGCCCATACTGATCAGATTGGAGTGCGGAATGTAGTATTCCATAGCAATACCGATCTCCTCAGTAATAGCAACGGCGCTCGTTGTCGGATCCTTCTCACAAAAGCAGCGCTGCTTCCAAGGAACGGATGCAAGGTACTCGCGCATGCCGTCCCAATCCGCTGAGCCATAGTGCCATACGCGTCGTCGAGTCCTCGGAGGTTGAGGGGGCTCGATTCGCGGCACTTTGGTGGATATCAAGCAGTGGTCGGAATTGCCCAGTGGGGCACGAACATCAACCTGATACCCGACGGGATGGCTCGTAAGCAGAAGGTCCAGTAAGGAAGGCGCTTGACCGACTATATCTGGGATCCTGGTGGGCTGATCGACCATTTGAGTCAAGTCATGCGTGAGAGCGAGTGCGTGGGCTGATCTCCCAGCATGGTCCGTCTTGGAAGAACTTAACCACGATTCGTGGTGAGCGTTGAAGTCCCCCAAGAAAACCAGTTCTGCGTTAGGATACTGCTCCTGCGCGTAATCTGCTGCCCGACTGAGGTGGTCATAAAGTCGAGTTGTCTCCGTATCGCCAGTGTGGGATCTGTAGAGGCACACATAGACTCGAGTCTGATGACCTAAGTCCATATGTACCGCTAGGAGGGAAAAGGAAGGGTCCTCTAGGCAGCGCAATCGGTGACAGCAAACATCCGCCCGGACAAACAAGCATACACCGGCTTTCGCTTTGAAGGACTCTTCAAGTGCGTAGCCGGGATAGTGAAGGTAGCTTGTATCGTCCGGGCGGAGAATTTGCGTCTCCGTCAGAAACAACATTGCAGGCCGTGCTGTCTCTAGGTGCTGGTGGACAGCATTGAGGTTGGCATGGAGTCCCCGTATATTAGAGAACTCAACCTCAAACAGCGAAGGCATGGGGTTGTGCAATGCTGTACGACCAGAACGTGTTGCTGTGGCTGCCATAACGATAAGGGGTGAGGGGACGTGAAGCAGGAGGGCATTGTCGCGACTGCTCCAGTCAAAAATATGGGCGCCTGTTTCCCCAGGTGTTGCCCACAGAGGAGTAGCACCGATCCGCCAGACGGAAGGGCCCCCGTACCCCCCCGAGAGTGGCCGCCGGGACCCACGCTCCGGTCACCAACCGGCACGGCGGTCCACCCCAAGATTATGCGTGGCATGATAGGGCAGCCTCACGAGCTGGTTAGGCACGCTTGGGCCCCTGTACTGTACCACGGGCGGCCAGCGGTCAGCCGTTTCTACGGGTCTCCCTGGCTGGCGGGTCGATGCAGTCCTCCTGGCACTGGTTCGACGGAGGCGCCCACCGGACCCAAACAATCGCGGCAATGTCGTCCCGAGCTCTGGTTGTACGTTGGCTAATCCCGAAACGCGCTCTACGAGCGAGCACTTCACGGGTTTTTCACCATGTGTGTACGGTGGTAACTAACCAGGCGGGATTAAACCCTACCACCAGTTGCGAGCAGATCTGAACTCGAATTCTTTTAGTCGCCTCTTACGACACCCACAGGAAAGGAAGGGGCGGTGAGTTATGTATTCTTTCTCCGTCACCGCACGGATCAATGTACGAGTAATACGTCTTGTCAATTCGTACGAGTAATACGTAATATTCTCTACATATTTGTAGTTATATTCTATTCTCTACATAGACTACCTAATTAAGATTTAAATTTAAATTGTCAAAACTATAACGGTTGCCTGTAAGAAATTTTATGTACAATAAAGAATTATTCATTCATTAATAATAATATAGAACTACCCAACATGTGACTTCTTTGAGTAATTTATTCTATTATGTATATACCGATGATAATAATATGTAAATAAACTTGATTGTAAAAACATTCAATTATATTTAAAAAACATGGTATTTATCTATTATTTAAACAAATTATACATAATTATTTTGTGTTATTATCAGAGGTTGGAATTAGGTAGAGTTATTTATGTACTTGAATCGAAATGTTGATATGAATGTGGACCTTCCCGGGATTTCTTTATTTCTTTCTTTCATTGATGTAAGTTTGGCAACGTCGTGCGTGCAGCGCAGTGGGGATTTTTTTCTGCTCTTTAAAATGAATCTCGGGATTTGAGGCATATCTACTTTATTCTTTCGCTGTATGAAATCAGTGTAATTACATGAATAACTCTACCTAATTCCGACCACTGGTTATTATATAACAACAAGGCCTCTGCCCCAAAAGAGGAGATATTGATAGGCTGATTATGATGACGTAACAGATATAACATAATGTACAGGCAACAACACGACCTGTTATACAATATTTGTGGTAACCTGACGTTCAGCCGCGTCTACATACAAAATTAGTGTTAGCCTTAAAACAACTATTGTTTTTATAATCGAAATTAATATTTTTTTCATTTAAAACCCGCTTAAACTTTTTTAGTAAAATATCAAAGCACTGAAACTTTTTATTAATATTGAACAAAGTTTGCAAAAAACATTAATTTTTGTGTGCCAGTTTACAAAACAATTAGTGAGTTTTGATGCAAACCGATTGGTGAATATAAAAAAAAATTACACTTAGCAGGTTTTTTATAGGCTTCTTGGTTCATTCTTTTCTTTGGTTACGTTTTGCCAGAGATAATATTTACATGTCGTCCCATAATGTTCCGTTAGGTATTTCGTTTTTTTAATACGTGGTAACTCAATATCTACCTGTGAGCAATGTTTTGCTTAGCACTTTAAACATTTGGAATAAGGTCTACTTTCCAACTTTATACCACGGGCCGAATCTGTAAAGAATGCTGTTTCATTTCCGAATAATCTACTTCATCATAGTGGTGAATTATGCTTCTTTTCCTTCTTTTTACCTGACTGCGCAACTCAAAGGAGGGTAATGTGTTTTATATCTTCATTGTTCTAACAATATTAATACTTATATGATGAATTAATTTTACATTACATTCTATTTATGTTTACAACTCAGATCTTATTAAGTGAGATGGAATTTGATTAATAACACTAAACTAAATTAGGTACACACTCATAAAATACATCATCATCATCATCATCATCACCAGCCCTTTTTATGTCCCCACTGCAGGGGCTCAGGCCTTCCTTATGGCCATCCATGAGGATGATGGGCATTAAGGAGGATGGGCCATGACCCTCCACGCTGGCCCAATGCGATTTGGAGGGTATTAACGACTGCAAATGCAGCAGGAACCAACGGCTTAACGTGCCTTCCGAAGCACGGAGTAGCTCGAGATAAGAATTTTTTGGTCACCCATCCCGTCACCGACCCTTGCGAAAGTTGCTTAACGACTATGATCGCGGGCCGCGGCGCTTATCCACTACGCCACCGAGCTACTCTTCATAAAATACATTAGAATTCAATACATATATCTAACAAAACTAACTATTCAATTATTCATGACATGTAGATAATTTTGACACAACTTCTACATTTATTCAGAGTTATGCGTTTTGGTGAGCAGTTAGCAGGTTCATATTCAGCATAAAGTACATCTATAGTCATAACAATAATAACTTACGAATTCAACCATTGGCATGTCTGATGTCCTGGATTCGATACCCATTCGGGTCGATATAAAATCTATAATGTCTTGTGTACTGGTGTTGTGACTTGTGGTACCTTCATTGTTTCAGATTTCCAAGTACTACTTAATTTGTAATCTAACCAACGTATGTGATGTTGTCTTATATTTAATTATTTTTTATTTATGATTTCATTCGAAATTCAAATGCCAGTTGACATAACGTAAATCATTCCTATTCACAGAACACTAACCATTCATGCGATACAGCGCCTACAATACAATTTCTAGAACGCCAATGCACTTGTCCCTAACCAATTCAACAGAACCATCGGCCGAAAGAGAGGTCGGGGAGCGAGAGGGGAGAACTTGTTGCAAAACAAGCCGCATTCCATTGGTGCAGCCCACTGACCTAAAGCTCAGACACTATGCGCAAGCGCATACATGCCTTAGTACCGGTGTGTGTACTAAGCTTAAATATGGTAAACAATCTTAATAAATAAAAGTTTTGATTTCTCTCGCATATTTCTACCAATCTGTAACATTTTTGAAAATATTCTAGGGCTTTATTATGCTTATTAGGGATAATGTAGATTATATGTATTTGAAAATAAAAACTATCTAATCGTTCTAGTAGTTTTGGAGCCTATTCAATACAAAGAAACAAATATTTGGTCTTTATAATATTAAATTATCTAAACTAACTTTGAATAGAAAAATGACTACTATTTTATTTAAAAATCATTTTAAAATTTTTGAACTTAGATACCACGTCAACCTTACTAATGCCACTTCTGCAGGTTTATCGTGTAACTACACTTACATCGATTTCCTTGATATCAGATTGAATCAAAACGCTCACAACGTTTGTTACTGTGGTACGTTCAATACATCATCTACGTGAATGAATTTTACTGAACATTCAGTACAGTTTTGAACGTCGAGTGCATTTTGATTCAATTTGCTGTCAAGGATATAATATAGTTGGATAAGGTTGTAATTGTTACAAGGAAAACCATTCGCTGAAAGAAATTGGATTGGTAAAGTAAAATTCACCAGTTACAGCCCCAGGTTTAATATTTTTTTTAAACATTTTTCCTTGGGAATAAATATCATTATACCATTATGAATGAAAAATTACCCAAATATAAGAATTCATAAAATAATATGATATGGCGTGCTTTGTTAACATTAAACTGTTATTAATAACCTGTTTTGAAATATTCCTCATACTAAAAGACGTTATTTTATGACTAATCAGATTAAAAGTTGTTTGGATAATTCATTTCATTTTTTTATTTTCTTTAAAATTTGGCCTCGAGTTAAATGAAGAGGTTAATATCGTATTTTTATCCCCGTGATATTTTATTTCTTAGAAATATTTCAATAGCGAGAAGAAAAACACACACAGTAATGACTTTCACAATGGCTATCGACACCTTAGACAAGAGGACAATTTGGAATAGTTAGAACAGAAAGGCAATGAATGATGCAAAGAACTCGAATAAAGTTTAAACGGTACATTCCTACCAACCGCCGGAGACAATAAAATTCTGCAATATAATTAAATTCTAATGAAAAATAACATCTAGTAAAACTATAACCCACATAGATATATTCCAACACAAACTCACTCTCTTGTCTCATTAAAATTGTTTGTAGCAGTTTTTGCGTACTTCCTATTTTTTATTGAAAATTCAGTACCTCCATATCGTCAATGAAATAATATAATAATATTAATGATAGATTGATTGATCTTTCTGTAATGTTGCTTTAAAAACTAAGTTCATATTATTATTGTAATCAAAACAAATGAAGTTCAAATAAATATAACAACATGAGTCAATAAACGTAAAAAGAACATGTCTTTTGAATGAAAAATTAACACTACTCCATTATCGCTGAATAACTTGTGTAAGTATTAGTCACTTTTTTGTGCTGAAAAAGAGTTTTTATTATTTTGAAGAGAAGAATAATTTTTAATAACTTAATAAAGATCCGTCTCAATAATACTAAATACCACTAAAAAGTTTGTATTCTCTTATTTATTTATATATGGAATAGTCAGTTTTATCACCAAATGGATAATATTTCGTCAACAGTTTAAGCACCTTACTACCGCGGCTAAGCTTTTGCAATAGAGGCATATATGGTTGTGTAACATTTAACCATTTAAAGTAATCGTCGCGCGATATAACTAAGAAGGTAACTGGGAATATATAAAAAATGAGACTAGTATTTAAACATTAGGTCTTTTGAGTGAGCTGAACTGCACCTAATTTTAATTTTTATTGCAGTTTAGACAGAGCATGCAAAAAGTGACACGATAAAAAATACAAGCGCTCAAACCCGTTTTTAAAGTAATTTTATGAGTAAGATTTTATGACATACTGTCGTCTAATAAGACCCAATGGTTTTAAACCTAATAAGATACACTGATTTTGACCTATGGAGTGCTGAAAATCAATTACCATATTTACATTATTTTGTAATTATACCCTTTTTTTAAGGGAAAATAGCCAAATGTCCAAGTCATTTTATAACCGAGGGAATCACGCAGTAGGTACAGACTTAGTTGTTGTTCCTAAAAACCACTGGACAATCCATACATAGGATAAAACAAAGCCCCTTCCGGTGTCTGTACGTTGAAATCTTTTAAACTGTACGACGGATTTGAATATGGTTTTCCTCAATATACAGAGTGTTTTAATGACAGGTTTCATTTATAATACCACGCGGGCTGCAAAGCTAGTAAAGTATAGATATAATTGTAACACATTTATCGTAAACCCAGCCGTGTTATATATTGTGTATAGTGATTTCAATATATCACAAGTGCTGTTTTATGAACATTTTATAATATATGTATATTTAAGTTAAACGTTAATAATGGTACCAAACGAACATTTAATTTAGCATTACATTTGTTTTATATACTTAATACAAACGAAGTATATACTAATATTATATATGTCGGCGGGTAGTCAAAAGGGGCTATTACGAAGCCCAAATAGATCTTCCATATCGGAGGACTATCTTTAAAATAACACTGCAGGCGTGTATACCAACGTGGATTTGTTCCATTTTATCACTTTTCACAAGAAAATATAACGAGATGAGCGTGACGTCGTCGGATGTCTTTACTTCTCGGCGATCGGAAACAGAATGTGTGCCAAAATGGCGACAACTTGCTTTTTATTAACGAACTGTCAAAGTCAGTGTCACCATTCTAATAAAATTAAAAGTATCATGATCACCCTCTCTTTACAATCGAGTAATTAAGTAATCGAGTAACTAGCAATTAAAATAAAAGAAACTAAATCAAACGATCTTCGTAATGATGATGCGACATACATATTACTTTAATAAACAGATAAATTTGATTGTTTGCATCGAATTGCTCCGTAACTGGACAGATTTTACAAATTCTTTCACTTATGAGAAATTATATCATACGCGGTTGACATGGGCTATAATCCTCTAGTTATAATAATAAAGGTCCTTAGTTAACGAAATCGGACAGTTTACCCATTTAATACACTTCATTGAGATTTATTAACCCTATTCTTTTGTATATTATTCAACAAATACCTGTTCTAATCATTCATTAATAGAATATTATTTTGAATGATGTCACATCGCTATGGTATGCAAAGCGTCATAGAATAGGGTCACAGCTCAACGAATTCAACTCTTTTGTAAATTGATCAGTTATGTAAACGGAACTAAGTAATTTTCTGACTAAAGCGTATTCAAATCAAATTAATAGATACGATGTACATGGATGTACTAAAATAATATTAACTGTAAATATATTATCTGTGAAATCGTACAGAAAACGTAATCTTATGGGCTTTTGGATGTTCTAAATATTACGGATATTCTCTATTTTTTATTGGACGTGTTCTCTCTCTATTTTCGTTTTTTATTAATATGAGGCGTAGGGAATTGATTAAAAAATATTATGTTCATGGAATATAGTCTTATAGTAATGGCCCTAATTAAGACAGACAACCTATTAGCTTAATGTCTAATTTTATAAACAACCGCCATTTCTTTCAAAGGTATAGAGCTTGTGATAGCAATTTATGGAATAGTATAACATTTTAAGTGGCAATCTCTTTCGGAACGAACGATGATTTGAATGATCAATAAATATAATAAAAACTTAGAAACAAGAAAGCATATTGGATAATTCCAACTATCGTGAATTTAATGGTTCCTTTTAAATATCGAGTCGTGATAGATTTTAAATTTAGAGATTAACACCCGGTTTCTGAATTGAGAATTTGCCGCTTCATTCAACAACGAATACTAAAGACCAGACTAATAGATATAAATATTTAAGGGAGCTCCCATACAATAAATGTGATTTTTTTGCTCGTTTTAGGTACAGAACGCTACAAGCACGAGTCCGACTCGCGCTTGGCAGGTTTTCTATGTATATCGTAGGAATTGAGAGGAATAAGTAGATAGCTATATTATTAAAGGTGTTGTTTGTTAACAAAAGAAAGACAAATCGTAATATAAAAAGATAAATCCAGGGTTCGCAAAAATCCGATATTTATAATAAATATCAAAATATCCGTTATTCTATATTTATCGGATAAATATCATGCATATGAAAAACTTTGATTTTTGTGCTGCCAGTTGCTTTATTTAATATTTTATCTTTTAAACTAAAAGTGTAAAATAAAAATTGAGTTTGATTTATTTAATATTTGTTTATTTATTATGAAATAATTAAAAAATCCTCGCCCGCATACTGGGCGAAGATTTCCAGTAAGGGATAGGGGGAAATCCGATATTTCTAGTAAGTAAGATTGCTACTTTGGGCCAATGTTGCTAGTGTCACTGAGACTGAATATTCAATAAAACTAACAATAAATATTTTAAATATCAATTGATATATATCGATGTATATATCAAGATATATTTCATGAAATATATCCGTTGATATTTATCAGCGAACCGATAAATCGAACATATTTCTAAGATCCCTAAGCTAATATGAAAATTTATTTAATTTATATTATTTCTTGACTCATTAAAAATATATAAGCAATAATATTTCACAAACTTGTTGAGAGTTATCGGAGGTGCTACACGATTTTGCGGACTTAGGTAGTTTTCAAGAATATGTTGCTTTATTTATAAATCCTAGATATAGTATATATTTTTTAAATCTACATTTATAGTTCTTATTTCAAAAGTTGTTTCCTACGTGAGATATCGATATGTATGTACAAATGTGCACCAGCCATGCCATTTTTGCGATGTATCGTAATTAAACACGAACTTCATTGGTCATTTAACGAAATACAACTCTATAAGAATGTCAGTAACAAATTCTGTGTATAGAAACAACGTACAAACAAAAGGTTGTAAGTAGGTATTAAAATCTCAAGACATTATCACATCAAATACTAATACTACAGTTATATTATAATATACCTAAGAAAACAACTTTTTGTTATTCTGACCGGTTCTTAAATACTGTTATTTATAAAGCATTTGTATGGAAATTATAACTCCGAGTAACATTAACATTCTTATTCATTTGTTCGAAGATCATCATAATAAATTCTTTGACGGCATGCCGAGGTTTCAATGACAAAACTGATAATTTCCATAATACAAAACATGTCGGTATGAGTTGAAAATATACACACCTTCGAATAGAATAACTAGGTAGGTATAATTACGTATAAGATCATCATATTATTATATTTTTACTAGATATGCTATGTTACTCGATTTCAACCGCTAATCATATAATAATATGTAAATAGTAGTAATTAATAAGATAATGTAATATATTATACCGTACCGTATTATAAATAGTACAGAAATTTAAAGGACAATGTCCAAATTAGCCTATGAACCTCTAAGAATATCTTGTATATCATAATTCTTATCATATTTTATGATTAATATATCAGCTTTTAAAATCAAACGGACACTGCCCATTTTTGTAATTACTTTAAAAAGTAATATCAATACATTTGATAAACTTCAATAAACGCTGCCACCATATTTTAATAAGTTGACAAATCAGGATCTATGCACAATTTGATGTATAATCAACCAATGAACACTTAAAGCGCTTGACATTAAAACGAGACTCAAAACGTTCGTAGATTTTTAAGCGGCTGGAAGCGCTCTTTTACATACGTTTGACAATTTTGAACTTTTGAAGTTTTGTTTGACAATCGCTTTCATACTCGCGTTGTGTTTACGTCGCTTGAGTTTGTTAGTACGATTTCTTGTGTCTTGTGAATATTAGTTATAAAATAACGACTTGGCTTGAACTAAGGACTGATTTCGTCTTATAATATCGACCTCCGGCAGTGATTTACGGCATACCGACCTACTATAGACAACGACTTGGCATTTATTTAACGGACATTAAAATGGAATCTGGGTGTGTTGAAGTATTTTGTGTTAATTGCGGTTCAGCTTCTGGTTGCATGGTATTAGAAGATGAGCAGATCCTTCAGTGTATACAACACTGGGTTGCTCCAAGATTGGTAAGTACATGCTCCCGATACAGAACCTACAGAACCTTTTAAAGCAAACAACAACAATCAACATTTAAAGCAAAGTAGACATACATTTCCCTACAAAAAGCAAGTAAAACAAACATTAAAAAGAATCTAACCGCACGCTACAATTGTTAAAATTATAACCTCAAATCCAAAATATATTTTTTGATTTATACATTTCTTAGAAGTGTCCGTTACTTAAACATGTATTTAGACGTAAATATAGATACTTTGGAACACGAAAAGTGATAGTACATGCTTAGAGGTTCTTAGGCGAAAAATGTATGGGGGCTGGACATTGTCCTTTAGATGATAAGTTATTTATTGGCTTTTATACTTTGTCATCCTTTTCAACGTAACATCGAATGTCCATGCAGTGAATATGTAGCACAACCATTATTACAAAATGAACTGAATGCAGTAAGTATTTTATGCCAGTGGTTTTAAACTATTTGTCGGTAAATTAAATATAAGTCCCTACACTGCCTACAACTATTTTCTAGAACTCTTCAAATACCTCTGAATTCAAAACATTCCAAAATACGTGTATTCGAATTCTCATTTATCAATTCGCAATGACATACTCTTTTTACATGAGTTTGTAGAAATAGTAAAAAATTATAAGTAATTAGAAATGGAAAACATGTGAATTTCAGGGGTAACTTTACGATTCTCTTCTATCGAGAAAATTTTATTAATTCACGGTTTGGTTGCGACAGAACTCTCAGAAATACGGTGTAGTTTCCTCGTTTTAATTACAAATTATTCGAAACTTGTTTTGTTACACAAAAATAGTTGAATGTTAGTATATATTTTTCCCTAAACTTAAAAATAAACACACACTTGTTACTTTTTCGCTACTACAGAGCGTATTTTCAGGCGTTAGCCCCGCTGTCCCCAGTTTTTTGAATAAGACATAACTTCATATACGTCTTGATAAAGTATACGCGCATTACTCTATCGAATCAATTAGAACTAATGGCGCTACCGTGCCTTTCTTCGGTGACGTTCTTTTAAAATGACCACAGTTTTGATGTCATGAATAAAGCATTATTACCCTTTGTTACAGTGTCCCCAATTCGTGCGACTAACGGCGGCAGCGTGCACGCGTCGCCCGCGCGCGAAATATCGCGCGACACACCCGACTATCAATACGGGCGATTTGACGCAAGTGCATTACACATTGCACATGCGCTTAAACAGACAGAATTGCAGAAGGCATACCACAGGCCGAGAGAGAAGCCAATAGACTGTTATCTGGTAAGTACGAAAGATGCTTGTTATGATAATTAGCGAAAATAGCGATACTGATACCTATTCATGATGCGACCTACAATATGTCATGCAGTAGCACCATATTGGCTGTATTAAGAAAATGGGTATAGTTGCAACAATTTATTAGATCTATACTTAAAAAACAGCCAATTAAGAGTTTCTCGTGCAACGTTTACGGCTTTCTAACGTCACAATTTCTTGAACTTTCAGCCTTTAATGAAAACTTTAATTCAGTTCATCTTTTTTACCAACTTGTACTACTAATAAGTATAATAAGCATAACTTTATGACGCCAGTACAAGACGCAATGTTACCAAACTTGAACTTTCCTTATTTATGGACAACATAGTGGTCAGCTAAAGTTTGCGAATATTATAAAGTGACATAATGAGAGAGTGAAAAATCTAATTAAATTGCTTGAAACATAAATTGAGTAATATTTAATAATAAAAATAATAATTTCATTTATTTTCTCCACAAACTTTTACACTTAAACAATGTGCTTACTATATATAATCATAAACATAGTTTGTAGAAGACTGACATCTAAACTAGGCAATAAATTGCTTGTATTTTAGAATATCAATTACAAAAACTAAGTAAATCAGACTTAAGATGGTACCTATATAATGAAAATTATATGATCATATATTCGAATTAGGTGTTCATATAAGTATGATAATATTATAATAATTACCATATCGCATATCATTGAGTGTAAAAGAATTAGTGTTAAACCAAATTTATACTATATGATATTGAAAATAGCTGTTCCCGCTAATTTTCCATTCAACATATGTAATTCGCCTATTCAGTGCAAACAAACAACTAAATAAATAATTCTCTTTTTAATATTAGTAAATAGACTCTGAAACATGTCTCTTATAAAATAATTTCATAGAAAATCAGAACGTTTTTCGTTCTAATTGTATCTTAGTTAAGGAACACTTGAACAGAGAAAATATAGCTCGTTAAGATAACGTTACGCTCCACATATCTAATTTATTATGGTATTTCTTGACAACTTTTTCAGACCATGATAATTTATTATTACATAGACTTGTATGGCAGCTTGGGCAAGGGAACAAATTATTGTTTGACTAGAAACTTAAAAAAACAATATGGGAAAAGTGCAAAATAAACAACACTCTATTCTCTCCATTACTTGTGATGGTTCAATCGATAAAATACATTCTTTATTACATTTTCAAGTAGGATTTATATAATTGAACCTCTTGGTGCGAAAACGCGGAGTTTAACACTATATAATCTATAGTAATATTATAAAGAGATAAGATTTGATTGTTTGTTTGTAATCGAATAATAATAACTTTTGGTATTTACCAAAAAAAAGGCAATATGGTATTGCATAACAGATGAAGTCCTAAAAAATACAGTAGTGTAGATCTGTGGGAACTTAGGACTCCGTTACTTAAGAACTCACAAACTTGTGTTGACAAAAATAATACAAATATATAATTTTGCGAAAGTACAGAGGGTCATATTGCTTAAATACTAACTTTAAAATATTCTATAATAATTATATTTATAAAATTCATAAAAGTTTACTTAATGGGAATAGCTTATGAATCTACTAGATCGATATAAAAAATCACCTACATAAGGGAAGCTACATCATGCGAACAGGCTATAATTTACGAAGGCGAACTGAAAATAACTAGTTTTTATAGAATAGCAAAACTGACCTGTCTCGACAGACTATGATTACCATATTAGCGTACTAATTACTATGTTAGAATTCCTACAAACATACCGTAATTATCAATAGGCCCACATCCACAGTACAAAATAGTGTAATATCTGCAGATACATCTCACATACCTGTCCTTTGGAGTGAAACAAATCGCGTGTGCCTAAAGAATGTGCGAGCACGGCATAAGCCATGCGCGACCAGCGAAATCTAAAAACACATCAATCATTCTATTTTGTTCTTTATCTATTAGTTATCGCACTAAAAAATGAATATATTAAACATAAGATATTCAGTTAAGTTGACTAAAATCAACGCTCCATCTCATCATATGACTCTCATTAACTCTCCATTAAATAGTTTCATTACTTAAATTAATATAAGGAAGTTCTTGTTTCCAAAACATCAAAGGTAATTTAAATACAATCTGTCTTAAGGTGGTCGTCGACTGTCGTTGTCGCGTCACCGACCGCACGGCACGACACGCTACGGATTATACGGATATTCCGATGTCATATATGCATATCCTTACACATTTTTCATAGATCATGCAAGAGTAACTAAATAATATTGCCGGAGAACACATAGTATATTAATTTTATTCTTATCGCCTCCATTTATTAGTGGTCTATAAGGTGGACTTAATGCCTTAGGCATTAAGTTTTCCTTTTATGTGACAATTAGTAATAAATAAATATATAAAGTCGCAAGTAGCCGGTATCGCCAATATGGTTTCATGTTTTCCGTTAATGATAAGACAAGTTTGTAAAAAATATTAGGAAGCGAAAACAGTGTTTTGGAAAATAACCACAGATTGCACAGATATATTTTAAGATTTAGTAGGACGATATCTGTTAGGTAAAGCATAGAATATAAAACTTTAGACCATAGAAACTATAATCGTGAATAAAGCCATATATCATGCCAGCGTGTAGCAATGCCGATGTTCCAAATTTGAATCGCATACACCTTTCAATTGCACCATAGACAGAAATAACTCCATGGAATCGGGAGCCATCATTAACCAGCGAGAAATCTGGCGTGACCGGCTGATTACAGGACGATCCGACGGTAGATAATGCCGCATTCTTCTGCAAAATCGCGATATCGTGATAGAGATATAACTCTATGAATTTTGATGATGACATAATCTTATATATATATATTAAAGACTGTGCGATGTACCATGTGTATTTGGTCTCAAACTATATACAAAATCACATTTGCCTAAAAGATTTTTGAAGACTTTTTGGAAATTTCCTCAAAAACATTTTACATCTCTCTCTTTATAGTGATCCAAACTTTCGACGAGTCTTTATGAACCTGTATGCTGTGGGTGAGGGTATACCAACGAATTTTTGCCTCCGCTGGTCCACCCGGAAGTTTTACCACAAGATGTGCCCACACGGGTGTGTCTCACATAACTCCTTAACTCGCCATACAAACGGGTTGCAAGGAATGTATTTGGAGAGGAATGTATATTCCCAAAGGGAAACAAAAGGTTTACGGTGGTTCTGGTTAGATTGATGGACTTCCTCGAGTCGGTTGTGATATGAATTAAAGATTATAGTACATCACGTACGCGACTCGCGTCACTTCGCCAAAGTCAGTGAAAACCGGACGCGACAATACTTTCGAACGATATTTAACGAAAGTGCGAATATTATTCTTACTTGGAGTTTTCATTTAACCTCTTTCGAATACCCTGTTTTTTTTTCATTCATACTAAAAGATTTCAACTGTCATCTCTTTTTAATTTAGATTTTTTTTGTTCATCAGCCTACTATTATTTACTCATATTGGTATAGGTAAGACATAGGGTATAATCACTTAAAGAGATGAAACTAAAACCCACTACGCGAGCTCTGTAAAAAGCTGTTTAAGATGCTATACTTTTGGTCGCTCATCCGTAAATCGATCTTTCCGAAGATTGATCAACCTTCTCGGTCACAAACTGAACATGATAACTACATCACCGACACAAATTATGTGATTTTTCGTCCTGACTATACACCTGCTACCTACGTATTAAACACAGAGTAAAATAATGTGTCACAGCTAACAGGTTAAAACAGTTATTTATTTAAACGACTACATATTTTATGAAACAACATCGTTTGACTACACTTCTAATAAAGTAGATATGAAGTTTTCGTTCAATATTAATTTTAAAATAATTAACATCAAGTTATAATATCATAACTTACATTTAATTAATACGTTTCTCCTAAACCACGCGGTTACTAGCCGTGAAACTGAATGCTCATTTTAACAAGTTAGCTGTGGCATATGTATTGTCATTAGAAAAGATATAGCGCATGGCGCCGAGGGACGACCTTGCGCCCACGCATCCGACTATAAACTGGATTATTAAGCCTGACACTCAGACATATATCAGATGTGATACTACATTTAATGATCGAAAGGAGGACGAAGAAATTGCCTTTAGCGATATGCGATATTTTTGTATATCTACAGAAAAAAATATGACAATCTTCTAGTTACCTACTGGAAAAAAAAATCTTTTATAGAACTGACTTCTACATGCACATATCCACTTTAAGTGTAATTTCAATGAGAAAGTATTAAAAAAAAAATTAGCTGCCGAAATCAAACTAGATGTCGCTACGGTATTTTTTTGATTTACCATGACAAACCTGGTTTTCTGTCATGTATAAAAATAAATAAATTTCCAAAACTCAATAAACAACTCATATTCTATTTGTAGTTTTCATATTTGTATTGATATCTAAATTTCGAACTTTGCAAATTTCAGTTTTTTAATGTTAGTTAAAAGGAACGGAAATGACCATCTTTGGTTCATTTGTTTCCTGCAAAAATCGACTTTTGCTCGAGTCGCCATTTAGTGAGGTGCTTTTTTTGTACTTTCTTTTTTTTATATACTTCCTCATTGCAATTACCGTGATATAAGTATATATAATGATTTCTAATTATGAAAGAGAGAGAAACATAAATATAATTCGAATGAATTGTATCTACAATTGCTGATAGTTTGTGAATATTCACAGGCGGAGCGAATAATAAATGGAAATAAGGAGAAAAAGACTGTTCGATTAACTGCATGCGATGCCTGTCGAAACAAATCTGTCATTTGAAATTTAACTACTTAAAGATAGGTAGTTCAAAATTGGATTAGATTATGCATTTAAATATTTTTTTGTGAAATTAGTATAAATAAGGATTATCAATTAAATACGCCATCGTTTCAAATTTAAAATAACTTGTAAAAGTTCAATAAACTGTAACATATACTTAAATATTGTCCTTGTGTGTGTTGATAGAATCATTATTAAGTATTAAATAAAATTCAATCTTAAACAACATCACATACATTGCTCAGATTCCAAGATGAGCAGCTGAAGCTACACCAAGACCCGAGACAATATAGACAAGTTCATTTTCCACATTGACCCGACCGTAAATCGAACCCGGGACCTCATACATGGCGACACCTTAAAACCGGCGTGCGAGCCAACATGAAATTCAATAATATAATGTTCCACATCTATGCCATACGCCTACACAGCGCTTACATAACTTATCTCATTTTACGGCTAATTTATATTATTTGTATTTGTTGAATAATATTGTGTGTTATTTAATGATTGTTAATTTATGGTTTTGTGTTACTTGTGGGCGATTTCTTAGAGATCTTGACAGTTCGATTTGAACCCAATTAAACGTATTTATGTTAAGTATACGCATTGAAGTACACACACAAGATTTATTTAATTACAGAGGTTTAATAGATTTGACCAGCCTGCTTTGCTATCTGTAAAAAAAAAATCTGCCCCCTATTAGAGGTTCAATATAATAAAACCGACTTCAAAAAAGTTTTATTTGATTTAACATCTATGGTGCGAAATCGCCGTAAATTACTGCTCCTGTTGATTATTAAACACTTTATTTCTCTAACAATAGAAATGATAATAATAGTTATACCTAGTTAAGATTGAAATAAAATAATCACATAATCTCAATTTAGCGATAGTAAAAATGACTCGATAACCTCTTAAAAAGGTAAAAGCTGGGGGGCGACTCTGAAACATTGTAGATAATAATAATTCAATAACTTTATTTCTGATTTTTAACAGCTATTTACTCAAAATATTATTTAAAAATATCAATTATGTAGCTTTGATGATCTTCCTTCAAATCATTTAATTTTTTATGTTGACAACATTACACCTAGTAAATTATTCAATTCAATACATACTTAAGTACAAACTTTTACAGCGCTACTTATAAACGTGGTATAAAATGTTATACCGAGAATTAGTGCCGAATACGCAAAATGTCAACTTATAAACTCGGTGTAACTTATGCTTAGCATAACCTGGATGTAACGTTCTAACAAAACTTATTCCTCCGATATTCCGCCCGTCACCCTAGTATAACTTTGGTGTAGCAACGGATTTGTCAAATGAGATTTTGATATTGTTGATATTTACCAAATATTTACCGTATTAGATAATTTTTAATAACATTGAAACGTGTGTTTATTGAAATATGGCGTTTAGACAATTATCAAGAAATTAATAATTTGATCAATCGATCGCAAATGTTTAGGACGAGAAGAAAATCTAAAATATTTAGAACTAATAGAAACGATCCCTTCCTTTTGTACAATGACAACGAATTTCGTATAGAATATCGTTTTTCCAAAGACGGCGTCTTATTGTTAGAACGTTTATTTGGCAGTGAGCTATATTGCAGATACTGATAACGCTGAGATACTACTTTTACTTGCCATTTTGATATTAGTTTATATTTGAATTAATAATTTACAATAACTTGCACAAAATCACCGGCGTCTTGTTCAAGGAATAACCACATGTAACATCAATCAACCAAACGTTAAACTCCGTGATATTTGACACTTCAACAGACAAAATACTTTTTTTTTTCGTTTTTGTCTATAAAATGCGGCGTTGCCGCTACGTGCATCGAACATAAGGGTGGAATACTTATGCCGAAGATATACCAAGTTTATAAGTCAAAAGATATTCTTTCGTTATTATGAGCATATACCGAGTATAACTATTCTTGGTATAACGATTGAATAACCATAGTTTAATGAATTTTTATAAGTAAGGCTGTTAGTTTGCACCGCATAAATTAAGATCCCTATTGAAGTAGTAAAAACCATCATACAATTTGAACGTAAAAAATGTTCGACGCAAAGAGTTCTTTATTTCAGAATAGGCCCCCTAGTTTGAAATACGATTATTCTCACGGTACTATGCGCGTTAATGTTATTTTGTAATATATAATTTTTTTCACCAAAAAAGCGGCATTGTTCGGAAGTACACACGAAATTATGGAAAAAATTGTGAGAGTCGCCATTTCTCTTTGACTGGTTGGCCAGTTTTTTCCTGTAATTCTGTTATCTTGGTTCTACAATATTTAGCAATAGTAAAACCTATGTGCATATATAAATCATATCAAAATATTATACACCAATGGACTCAGAAGACAATTTATATTGATAAATCTCATATGGTCAGTTGCACAAATGTTCATTAAGGTAATGTCGCTTTTAAACTATTTTACGTTAATTCGACTGGCAGATAGATTAATTAATACTTTTGTTTTTTCACGAAATTTCTGTGGTATTAGGCTTTATTTTATTACACACTTTTGAACATCGAAAAACTGTAAATCTACCGTGGGAAACCTTGTACTGAGAAGAACTGACACGAAAATCAATCATCGGCAAGGGTTCCTATTTTCTCTCTATCTATGCTACAGATACTCTGAAGGTGGAACTCTAAAATACCAGCCACGAGCGATTCCAACTTTAACATTCTAAAAAATATTTTTACTGAAATATGCTTGCTATATCCACTTTGTCCCTGGCACTCTGAGATGGGACTCGAACCCATAACCTTTCGCAAACAATTAAAAAGGTCCTGTTAGGTCCTGGGTAGCTCAGTGGTTAGAACAGTCCAGCCTTGCGAAAGGTTATGGATTTGAGTCCCATCTTATAGTTAGAATATTTTTCAGTATGTCGTTGTGAATGCAAAATTGATAAGTCACAATTACACATTTTGGTTCCGCACAAATACTTAATTTTAAAGAGCATAGAATAGATTTTCTTGTATCATAGGTGTAATTAGTGAACTATTTTTATATGTTCTTATATATTGTAAATAGTTTGGAAGATCAGAGGGAGGGGAATAAACAGGTTTATAAAACGGAAATATTTATATGTTTATTTATTGTTTATCCTCCGAAATTACTGGTCCTGTTTCAAAAATTCTTTTACCTGCGGAAAGCTACAACATCCGCGAGTGATATTATGCTATAATTTACGCAGGCGAAGTAGCGGCAAAACAGCTATTCTTTAATAAATTCGTCTTAGCTCCTAATGTCATATTTAAATCATAGAGAATTATGAATTCAACATTATTTCTGTTAATAAGTCCTTTACATGTCATGAATCAAAATAAATACTCATTGGAGTTACAGCTGTTTGTGGTTATGCCTATAAGCTCGTGAATCAGGAAGAGAATTTGTAAATCACCTGTTAGCATCAACAATGAGCAAGAGCTCACCGATCCCGCCGTGGGAAACTAATGTTTAGAATAGGAAAACCCCGTACACAATGGTTGGACCATCTAAGACATTGCTGAACTGAAATGTTTCTTGTTGCTATAGAATTAAAGTTTATGCAAATGTTACTGAGATAAAATGTAATCGGTTTAAGTTTCTCGGTACTCCTAGGTGATAAGTGTCTTTTACTGGAGTTAGGTATTTTTAATTTGCAACTTTGAAGGAAATAATAGTATAAGCCACATGCTTTTAGTTGTAAGATTTCTGTAGGTACACTGGAAGCAGCCATATTCTTTTTTTTTAAATTGCGGGCCATCAAAAACAGAAGATATATATTAATAAGAGTTGAAATATGATGACTCTAATCTTAGAAACGTAAAAGCAATATGTATAAACGTTTATTAGGCGATAGAGAAAGCTGATAAGTTTTTTTTCACCAACTGAAACACCATTTGTGGACTGAACCACAAAATGTCACTAAGTTGCTTCTAGTATTTATATAACAGTGTCGACAATTTTTACATAACTTTGTAATTTTATGGCGTCAATTGGCTACCTACATACGTTGAAGTTATAGCGTCTTAAGTAATCGTTAAGCCTACGCCATATTCTGTTCCCACACTGACACCCTATACCTAAACTTAATTATTTGAGATAACACGCCGTATATCTAATAACCCGTAGGTTTTAATGAGTGTTTTGTTTATTTTTCAATACACGACATGGTTGCAAGAACGATAAACTTTGTCTTGACTACCTGTAACAAGCAAAAAAAGTAAGATGATAAATACTACCAATAGCTGAAAGTTTGTATGCTTGTTAAATTTTCAAAAAATTGACGGATCTTGATACCAAAATCGTCAGTTTTAACTAAGAATTTAAAGTATCTTTTGTTTTTCCCGCAACTTCGCCCGCGTAAATTACGTACTTATTATATACAATCTATGGCTTGATGTAAGTCACCGAAATCCAAACGTTCTGTGTACCGACCGGCTCAGATATTGTAAGTGATTCATAACAAACTTCAGAGTGCGGTATATTTCGAAAATCACTTATTGCTGTTGATGGTATGTACCTACAACATTCATCACCATCACCAGCCCTTTTACGTCCCCACTGCAGGGGCTCAGGCCTTCCTTATGGATGGTTAAGGAGGCCTTGATCCTCCACGCTGGCCCAATGCGGATTGGAGGGTATTAACGACTGCAAATGCAGCCGGGACCAACGGCTTAACGTGCCTGCCGAAGCACGGAGTAGCTCGAGATAATAATTTTTAGGTCACCCATCCCGTGACCGACCCTTGCGAAAGTTGCTTAACGACTACGATCGCGGGCCGCGGCGCTTATCCACTACCCCACCGAGCTACTCATTACCGCTGCATTAACCAGCCAGCACAGACAATACGGTGGATGTGGCTCAGTGCACCTTCCTGCATTATTAATATGCACGTTGTAATTATTACAACGGCGATGTATGCATACCATATCATACCCAAGTGAGATAGGAACTTGACCTCCGTCGAGTTTAAAGGTGTCGCCAT